TGAATGGTTAGTTGATGAGTTTATGTAGCTGATGTGGAGTTAACTATCTTCAATTAGCATTTTCTGTCAGGATAATCTATAAATCGCTTGTATAGGAACTGTTGTGAAATGCACACAGAGTGACTTTGAAAAGACGGATGCTACAGTTTGAGCTGACTCACAAATGTGCTCTTCTACAACAGCTCTTCCTCTTCTCAACATGGACTGCGTGTTCCCGGGGGCGGGGCTTATGTAAATTTTAGGGTTGGTGATGTCACTAACCCGGGAGGAAGCTCGTGTAGTTCCTACCAGCCGTTTGTTGTAGTCCTTTAAAAACGATTTCTTTAAAAGCAAATATCTCCCTTTGCTTTGAACTTTGAGCGTTGTAACTTTGCAGATGTTGTTTATGCTCAAACAGCGACATTACACACTAACTAAAGTTAGAAAAGTGAAATCATAATCAACAACCCCTTTAAATATTAAAAGTGGATGGGCAGGCATATTTCTTACTTGAAATGGTGAAATCAGTGTGGAATCGTTTGACTTGAGCCTGTAAGCAACCTCTTAACTACAGCAATGCTCTGGCAACCACCCACGACTTTCTAGCAATATACGGTATTAAAAAATTTGAAATATTGATGTCATAGTAATATTACACACACAATAGTATTATAAGTAATCCAGCACCAGTAATTGGCCGACACTCCAAGATGCGTGTGGGTTTATTGCACATTAATGCTGGTTTCCACCCACCATAAAATGGAAAAAATGAGGTTAGTGGACATGACAGGTGAGACACTCAACCCGCACCAGAAAAAAGTTGGATTCTGTAAAAAAGAAAGGGTGTTAGAATCCCAGTCAACATTATTTTTGTACAGTTAGGATTACAAACACTCTCGACATCTCCATACACTCAAATTTTGTGTGTGCTTGATTGTTAATTTTGTGTTTTCTCTTATTTTGGGCCAAAGTTAAAGACAAATCTGACTGATTGTGTTATTTTTTGTCCATATGGTAAATGTTAATGGTAATGTGGCAACCCTATACACCCTGGCATTGTGGCGGCTACTTGCATTGACAATCTTTACTCATATTTTCATCAGAAAATATAAAAATGTAGTTGAAGAAGAAGTCTTTCCCTGAAGGTCGGTAAAATGAGCGCTGAAGTACGCTTCCTTTATTCTCTACTTCACAAAGATGAAGTAGATTTCAGCTCATCTTTGAACTGCCTCAGTCATCAGAGCAAAGAGAAAATGAAATGGTGCGATTCTTAGATGTCTTTCCCCCTTAACCCCCGAGCCGTAACGTTAGCATCACTTTAAAAGGCCCTTTTCATGTCTGGTGTGTGTGCATATTTGGTTTCTGGAGTGAAGTGTGCTCCACATATGGGGCTTGTGCGTGTGTAGTGTGAGTCTGTGTAGCGTGAGGTCTAGCAGTCTGTTCGGTCAAAAGGTTTATATCCTGATTATAGACTACGCCCCAGCGGTTCACAGAAAGACACGGGACGGATAAACCGTTTGATCCAGGATCACAAGGTGAAGAGCACCAGAATGCTGATAATCTTAATGATGGGAGGTGATTTATAAAGACCGTTATGATGAAGTTAAGGATCTGAAACTGGTCAGGCTGGGAATGCTGGGAAGCAGGGGAAAGCAGGCTTAAGCAGCTGGCCAGACACACACACACACACACACACACATCAAAAACAGACCATGTGCTGTCCAGACACACTCCAGAAACACTTCAAACCCTGAGAGCGCAACGAGAACTGAAGAGAGGAAAGGAATGGCGAACAAAGACAGAAAAAACGACTGAAAGAACGAAGGGTCAATCTGAATGGGTCAGTCCAGTTTAACTGGCAGAGCCAGATGTGCTTCCAGGAAAGACACACAGCTGTCGATCAGCTTCTCCTCTCTTTTCTGCTGTCTGGTCTGATCTGGCCCGTTTCTTCTCTTCTTTTCTCGTCTCGTCGTTTCATCTCCTTTTCTTTTCTCGTCTCGTTTTTTCATCTTCTCTTCTTTCCTCGTCTCGTTTCTCCTCATCTTCTTTTCTGGTCTCATCGTTTCGTCTTCTCTTCTCATTTCATCTCCTCTCCTCGTTTCATCTCCTCTTCTTTTCTCATCTCCTCTTCTCGTTTCATCTCCTCTTCTTTTCTCATCTCCTCTTCTCGTTTCATCTCCTCTTCTTTTCTCGTCTCGTTTCATCTCTCCTCTCCTCTTCTTTTCTCATCTCCTCTCCTCGTTTCATCTCCTCTTCTTTTCTCGTTTCATCTCCTCTCCTCTTCTTTTCTCATCTCCTCTTCTCGTTTCATCTCCTCTTCTTTTCTCGTCTCGTTTCATCTCCTCTCCTCTTCTTTTCTCATCTCCTCTTCTCGTTTCATCTTTTCTTCTTTTTTCGTCTCTGTCCTCTTAGCTTATCTCAGTTTTTTTTTAGTTTTTTTTTATCTTTTCTCATAACATCCTCTCCTATTCTTCCTTCTCTCTTTTCCTCTCCTTTTCTATTATCCGGTCTTGTTTCATTTCCTCTTTATTTATCATGCCATCTCTTTTTCTTACATTTCATCCTTCTCTTATTTCACCCCAACTTGTCTTTCTCATTTTGCCTTTTTACAGTAATTCTCTCTTTGTCTTCTAATCTCCTCTCCTTTGACAATAGCCATTTTTCATTGCTCCCTTGTTATGAAAAATTTATTCCCATGATTCTCTCCCACTGTCGCTCTCTCTCTTTTTCTGCCTCTTTTACTGTCTGTCTCCATGTCTCGTCTTCTTGTCTCGTCTTTTCTCGTCTCGTCTTCTTTTCTTGTCTCGTCTGTTATCTTATCTAATTTTTTTCTCTTATTTTCTCATCTTTTCTCATGACATCTCTTTTCTTGCATCTCATCTCATCTTGTCTCCTCTCCTATTCTTCCTTCTCTCCTTTCATCTCCTCTTCTAGTATACTGTCTTTTCTTGTTTCATTTCCTCTTTATTTCTCATCTCTTCTCATGCCATCTCTTTTCTTACATCTCTCCCTCTTTTATTTCATCCATTGTCTCGTCTCCTCACCTCTTTTCATCTCCACCTCTAGTCTCCTATCTTCTAGTTTAGTTTAATTTCCTGTTTTTTTCTCGTCTCATCTCGTCTTTCTCATTTTGCCTTTTTACTGTAATTCTCTCTTTGTCTTCTAATCTCCTCTCCTTTGACAATAGCCATTTTTCATTGTTCCCTTGTTATGAAAAATTAATTCCCATGATTCTCTCCCACTGTGTCGCTGTCTCTTTCTCTGCCTCTTTTACTGTCTGTCTCCATGTCTCACCCTAACACTGCCATGTTTACCTGTTGCCATGACTGCTAGACAACTGGATGAGTGTGTGCTTGTGTATGTTTGTTTATGTGGTGACAGACTGGGATGGGGGGATGGATACGCATATGGTTGGTGTGTGGTCGCGGAAAAGATTTCATACGTGTGTGTGTGTGTGTGTGTGTGGAGTTGGCGTCCTGTTTATCCACATTGAGACTTCTGGCAGCTCTTATCAGCCGCTGTCTCATGATGATGATGTAATGCTGGTGGGAATGAGAGGGGTGTGTGATGTAGTGCAGCCGAACTGACACACTTCTTCAAATCTACAAACCTCATTAAATCACCCGCTGCTGACACCCAGCCAGAAACTACGAGAGGCCAAAAAGACACAGGCTGTCCCATAGAAAATGAATGGATTTCTAAATGAAGGTCCAGCAGGAGCATGTTCATCTAATCCTGGTCATCACAACACTAGTGCAGACTGTATAAACAGCTGCTTACCAAATGTGTTTACCTTCAGCTCACTCAAGGATTATAAGAAAATGTCAACTCATAACAAATGAGACATAGCTTAAAATGAACAGGAGTACAAATATCCCACCCACACATAAACTGTAAACTTTATTTATCTAGGCTTATGTCTGAATATCTAGAGTTTTGTGTTCAAAGACTTGACATACAATTTAATGGATCAAAACTGATACACAGCATGTCAAGGATTCAGAATCAACAGTGATTTCAACATTGATCAGTATTGATTGCACTTGTTAATCAGATCACAACTGAGACTTCTTTATTATCTCAATCATTTCTCATGAATATCACTGAGATTGAATATTGAATCAATGTGCTCAGATTGGCAAAGATACAAAAGTGTGCAATAAAAAGTCACTGTTACGAACGTTAATGTTCTTAAACGCCTTGATTTTTCTTGTCTCTTTGCTTCTATTCTCGTCTGGTCTCTTCTCTTCAAAATTTACTCAATTATTATTCACGGCAAAAAAAGTTTGAAGTAAGTGAGCAGCGATGTAGTGTTAGTGAATATCCCTATGCCGTCCACGCTGTTGAGACGGGCGTTTAGATGAATATGTAAAACATTGATAAATTGAGAAAACAGCAGTTAAGAAAGCATCTGATTGTGATGTGGTTCTGTTTGTACCAGCTCTGCAATTCAGCGCTCCAGCGAGGTCACATCACGTTTAGTTATACAACCGATTGAGCAAACTTGTCTTGAAAGTTCACTCTGGCAAGCTGTCCCAAAAAAGACTCGAAACGAACTTCGTTTTGGCCAGATTTTGTTCAAAATAATGTCACACCACTTTATTCTCTTTAGAGTGAACTAAAACATTTCATCTCTTCTTTTCTCATCAGCATTTATTGTATCTCAACTTTTCTTGTCATCTTGTCTTGTGTCTCCTCTTCAAACAGAACTCAAATGTTTCATCTCGTCTTTTCTCATCTTTTTGTTCTCGTCGAACATTTGATGTAGTCTTTTTTTCTTTTCTCGTCTCTTCTCCTCTTTTCAAAATGAACACAAATATTTAATGTAGTCACTTTTCTTCTCTACTTGTCTTTTCTCTTTCCTTCTCATCTCTTTTTCTCATAGATTGCCATATTGCCATTTTCCTGAGCCAGTATCGTTGTCTTGCACAAAAGAAGCGTAGTGAAGAAATGTAGTATTCTTCAGTATAAAATAGAATCTTTTGAGTAATCCTCAGTGTGTGTGTGTGTGTGTGTGTCAGATCGAGGTATATACAGCAGCAGAGGCGTCTCAGGGAGGCTCTGGTCCTGCTTCAGTCGTCTCGTGGGGAGATGACGACTGTTAAGAGCCAGTTAACTCATTTCCTGGAGACATGGGACAACAGCAAAGCACGGATACAGCAGAGTTGCATCAGTGCTGACGCAGGTAATTAAACACACACACACACACACACACACAACATCAGAAGACATGTGTATGTCTGTGCATGTCTATTACACACATGTTCAGAGCAGATTCAGGCAGTCTCATGCACAGAACAATGGGACAATCACAATATATCTTGTCATGGTCTGAAATTAGATTAGAACACACTCTCCCTCGGCCGGTGGGTGTGTGTTGGTGACTGTGACATGTAGGGCACACTGTTCCCGCTGTGCTGAGATAATTGCAGTATAATGATGATAGAGGATGTGAGACATTTAATATCAGGGAGCTGGAACAGAGGAGTGTGTCAGTGGATGGCAAGGACAGTGTGTGTCTCACAGTACTAAGTGTGGTATTGGGCAGGGCCGTAGCTAGAGGATTCGGGGCCCCCTGAAAAAATATTGATGTGGGCCCCCACCACCCTCCACTAATATCATATACTGTACAATAGATGAACATGGAGGCCCACATATAACAGAAGATGGTGATGTTGTTGTAAAACCTTTATTTTAAAAGTTAAATGTTTATATAAAAATGACAACTAATAAAAAATAACAAAAAGCAAGAAATTGTTAAATAATAATAAAACCAATTTTTAAAAAGTAATATTCCCCCCCCCCCCCCCCATCAGTCTGTTATAATTCATAAATCAAAAAGTAAACATTTAGAAATTGACAAGAATGCAGTCTAATTAAAAAAATAAAACCATTTATTGCCTTATTTTTTAATAAAGATAATATGGAACTGGTAATATTATTAAATAAAGCGAATACATTTATTCATCCAAGTGCAGTGTGTTGTATTCGTGTTTTCTCGATGTTTTAAATATCATCAGCCGGCAGGTCAGATGCATAATGCATTAATTGCGTCGTGACTCGTGTGAATTTTTTTAAACTCTATTTTCAATAGTGTAAAAAGACAGGAATTTAGACCACGTAATCATTCGGTCGATTGTGGCGCGCACCGATAATAAAAAATGACTGTACACGGCAGACTGTAGACGGAAGTTTTCTAATTCCCAGCGAAATAACAATATATAACCGGTCTTTAAGAACGTCTTGATCGACTGGGATACAACCACTCTCCTTGCCTCCCTCTCCGTCTTTTCCCCGACATTTTTCAGTCAGTCAGTCTCCTGCTCTTCCACCAAGTTCATCGTTAACTTCAGGCTGCCGCCTCAACTCTGATTGGTTCTGTTCACGAGCTGGGGTGGGACTTACAATTTGATGTTTGTCACTGACTCTGACTGAATAATTTAAAAATACTTTAGGTCGGACTAAACCATTTTTATGGAGGTAAGAGAAGCAGATATTTGGAAAAATATTTACCCAAATTGCACGTTTTTGTGGTTTTCATTTAAATCTCAGGCATACAACTAATATAAATATTAGAATTATTCATACAACAGGGGCCTAAATAGTATACCTGCTGGATTTTGTGGGGCCCCCTGGGCAGCGGGGGCCCCTATAATTGTCACCACCTTTCACCCCACTAGCGACGGCCCTGGTATTGGGAGCCGACATGTATTAAAGGCACACTATGTAAGATTTTAAGATCAAAATTTCCAAAAACCACTAGAGCAAAGTTTTATATATTTTGTTGATTTGTGTACTTACATTATCCCAGATGTTTCTAAGAATGTTTAAGGATACGGATCGTGTCCGTGCGTCGCCTATCGATGACATCATACCCGCGTTACCCTCGGTTTCCGGTTTTATTTTGTAGAAACAGTGGAAACACCAAAGACGCTTTAATATATTATGTGTTTTATTAGACAGGTGAGCAACTTTTTGGATAATTTATCGACAGAAAACTAATCATTGTTATACAGCTCAACACAGTTAGTCTTTTTGTTTAAATCTCGTTTTCTTGATTTACCGCGAGTACCATATCTACCATGCCTAATATCGATCTAGCTCACTGCAGTGTGTAACACGTGTCTCATATAGTAGCCGCCCGAGCGAACGTACAGAGTAGCGTACACTTTATTAGGTCATCTATTCAGCCAATCACATGGCATTTAAGCATGTAGACACGGTCAAGGCGATCTGCTGAAGTTCAAACAAAGCATCAGATTTGGGAAGAAATGTGATTTAAGTGGCTGTGAACGTGGCAGGGTTGTTGGTGCCAGACAGTATTTCACAAACTGCTGATCTACTGGGATTCTCACGCACAACCATAGGGTTAAAGGGGTGGTTCGGAATTTTGGACATCGGGCCTCATTTACAAGTGAGGCTTAGTGTTATTTATCAGTAGAGACATTTTTTAAAAAAAATCATCCAGTCGTCCCAGTTGCGTAGTTGGCCGGTGCTAGGCTAGCGCGAATCAATGGTACCAGTTTTAGCCTGCCATTAACACAGTTTTACCCACTCCACAGTACACTAAAAGCACATCAGTTATAACGCCAGACTATCGATGTAAATGTCTGTTGAGAGAATAATGTTAGAAATCAAACTACCCTTTCATCGCATTGCATTTTATACTTTGTTCCCTGTATTTATCAGCATAGTCTACAGCAGCGGCGGAGTGATATGTTACCTATGCAACCGAGAGAGCCGGTGTTGTACCGAATTCCGACTCCCGGACAAATCGCACTCCCCGCTAATCGCTACAAATTCGGGCCTTTAGTAGTGTCTCTGTCGGTGTCTCCTTATCCAAGCCAGCAGCAAGAAGCCACAGTTGGTTCCTTTCTGGATCTCTTACTGGAAATCTGTAAACATAAAAAAACATGAATCTTCACACACAGAAATTAAAGCTCCAAAAAAGTTTATTGGATTTTTTTTGTGGAACAATTTAGGTCTTTATCAGGCAAAATTTTGCTTCTTTTTCTTATTAATCTAATTATTCTGTACAGTTTTGAAGCTTTAATTTCACTGTGTTTTTAAAACTTTTTTTTTTTTGGTAAAACCTGACAAACCCACAAGCTAATGCTTTTATTCGGCTCTTTTGATCAAAAGAGACATGTTTAATGTGAATGCATCTCGGATTTCACAGAAATATAAAGCAGCACGAGTGTTTTCAACATTGATCATAATCATAAATGTTTCTTGAGCATCAAATCATCATATTAGAATGATTTCTGAAGGATCATGTGACACTGAAGACTGGAGTAATGATGCTGAAAATTCAGCTTTGATCACAGGAATAAATTGCATTTTACAATATATTCACATAGAAAACGTCTCGGGTTACGACTGTAACCCTTGTTCCCCGAGAAGGGAACGAGACACTGCGTCATCGTATGACACTTTGGGAACGCCCTTAGCGTAACGCATCTGAAGCATGAATGAAATCTGTCCAATCCTGATTGGTGCTGCGTCATGACGTAGTAGATGACGGCATAACCGGAAGATACAAAGGTACGCTGGCATACAGGCCCGCCGACAGGGGGGGACAAACGGGTCTGTTGTCCCGGGCCCAGGGTAGGGAGGGGGGCCCAGAACTGGGCCCTCATTAAATTATGGAATAATTGTTAAAAAAATTAATAAAATAGGCATATTTGTTGAAAAAATATCTAATATTTGAGTTACATAAAAGCTTTTTATTCGTTTTCTTCCTAATTGTCCTTGAAATAGTGGTCAAGAACCCCCCCCCCCCCCCCCCCCCCAAACAAAAATGGATTGGCCACTGATCGAAATATGATGTTGTCATTTGATTTGAAGTTCAGTAGGCTAACGTTACGCTCAAAATGTCAGCACAAGTCCGGTGCTCAGAAAAGAAAAGAGAAGAAGAAAATAGAGGCCTTCGAGATGCCCTAAACAAATATTTTTAAAAAGGTGGTGACGGTGAAGCTGGAACTAACGTTAGTAAAGTCAACGTTGAGGAAGGTAAGAAACAGCGCAGCCAACGTTTATGAGTGTTGTCAAAGACCCGGCACTTCGGTACCAAGTCGGTACAAATTTCTTTTTAAACGTCACGCCACGGTACCAGGTTTTCTCAAACCCGGGATGCGCGTGCATGCCCAAAGCGCGTGCAGTTGCGTCCTCTTCATAAAAGCGCTGAGACATGGCGACCGGCGGTGCTGCTGCTGTGGTGGCTGTATGCTGTAAATCCACTTGTTGATAAGAAAGGAGGAAACAGCCACATATGGAAATATTTTGGATATTAGCTCATAATAGCGACGCGGCGCGCTCGTTTTTACAGGCGCGCCTAAGTTCATTGTTGCATAGCAACGACAGACGCCACGGGAGAGCAAACGCTTGTGGAAAGGAGAAAGCGGTGCGAACTGCGCTCTCCATGATGACGAGGAAGTATTAGCAAAGAATTCATTGATTTCTAGCCCTTGGATTAGCTTTACTACTATTTATGGAGATGAGAAATAAAAAGCCGGCTGAAATGCATCACTGTCATCATCGGTGAACAGATAATGGGTCAGATCCGAGTCTATTTTTGCTGTGCTGCTCATGCTTAAAAGTGAAAGCACACTTTTGATGGACAAAAAATAAATATGATTTCACACAAAAAGTGCCCAAAATGCACAGATTATGCATGTCTAGTGTGTTTTAACAAGAACTGCAGTAGGCTATGTCAGAAAAGAAAATGAAGACATTTATAGAAAATGTACCCATTTAAACGTGTTTTTATTATTCATTTTGGGTAAAAGTATATGGTGTTTTATAAAAAAAAAAAAAAATCGTGGTGGGGGGGGGGGGGCCCATCTAAGATTATCTTGTCCCGGGCCCAGGCAAGACTGTCAGCTGGCCTGCTGGCATATACAAACACTAGCTCTTTTGCGATGAAGCTAGCGCTCTAAACGTGATAGGTGTGGCGACGAGACGCAGTGTCTCGTTCCCTTCTCGGGGAACAAGGGTTACAGTCGTAACCCGAGATGTTCCCCTTCGAGGGAACTCGAACTGCGTCATCGTATGACAATTTGGGAACGAAATACCCATTATGCCACACCGTAATCACACCCGCCCTAGTGTGAAGCTGGAAGACCAGGCACACTTAGGACGCGAGCACTCTGGCGCCAGGCGTCACGGGGAGTTGCAGACTGTAGA